CTTGTGATGTCTGGAAATGTAAGATGATACATTTGGCTTGCTTAAAGAAATGAGATTTAAATCATTGTATCATAGAAAAATAAAATTTAAAAAACTGCTGTAAAATTGCTAAAAACAAAACAAAAGCAACATTGAAGAAATTACTGAGAATTGAATAAAAGCTGACTCACAAAAGCATTCATTGTCTTTCTAGACAGTTGACCAAAAGGTTATCTTTTACTCAACTATTCCAATGGCTCACTACCTAAAAGGCAGTCTATTTTAAATTTTCAATAGCTCTAAATGAAGGAATTATTTCATATGTACAAAAAGCTTCCAAATTTTGCATCTATACTAATTTGATGGCTTATCTTCATTGTCAGATTTACTAAATCTTAAATGGCTTACAAAACATACTCCTAGGAAATTTGTGAGAGTCATTTATAAGAAGCTTAACTGAAGAGAGAAAACAACCACCATTAATGTGGGCACCACTATCCCATGCGCTGTGAACCCAGACTAAATAAAAAAGGGAAAAAGGAGAGGGGGGCAGAAAATTTTAGGCCAACATAGCATTTAGGCAAGGATACAGTTACTGCTCATTGATCTTAGTATTATAGTAATAAGAGAGCATAGATCTATGAAAAGCATGCAGTTTAGTGAGAAACATGGACAAATTTCAAGTCACAGACAAGGTGGGTCTAGAGAAAAAACCTTTAAAAAGAAATCTCACACTTTATATAGGGACTATAGGAAAGTTACCCTGAAGTGTTAAGACTCCACCCACCAAAGGCTCCAAATTGTGGAAATGCAAATTCAATGGAAAGAGTGGTGAGTTGCAAATGTCAATTAGATGGGTTCCTGGTTCAAAAACAACTTCCTATGAAGGGTTTTCCCAGTTTTAGTAGCCAAGGTTTTGTATAGAGTCCATTACAACTATTGTAGATGGGGCCAGGCTACATCATGATCTGGCAGCAGAAAGTGGCAGCATCAACAACATGATGCTGATTTTTACAGTCATGTAATATGCAAGAGTGAAGTGGACATGGAGGTTTGAAAAGCTGTTGAGGCTAGGCAGCATGTAGAAGAGTCAGATTCCAATCAAGGAGACCCTGAGAAGTTACTGTAGAAACTAACAATGAGGCCCAAATTGTAATGCAATGCAGACCGTGGGATGCTAGAGATGGAAAGACCATGGGACCTGCACTGAGAATAGCTGCAGACAAAAAGTGGAGCTATCCAAATAAGTAAGTTACGTGTGCTACAGGAAGAAGAACTGGAGGGTAGGGCTTCCTAAGCCCATTGGAGCCCACATGATCACAAGTTCCAGATGATGGACATGGAGCTATAGGGTTTGATGTCCTGATACGTTTCAGTCTTGCTTTGTGCCAATCTTTCTTTGCTATACCTCAAGTCTTCCCATTTGGAGTGGGGTTGGTTTTACACACATGCAAACTGTAAGAATGAAGGGGTCATAGAGGCTTACAATATGGACGTGTCATTGTACAATGAAAGTGAGTTGTTTTGCTTGTCTTAGTTAAGACTCTGCACTTAAGACTTCTGAACAAAGTGTTGTTAAAACTTTTAAGGGGACCTTTAAGGACTTTTAAAGACTGATTAAATACATTTTGCCATATGAGATAGACCTGAAGCTTTAAGGACAAAAATGGAATATTAGCATTTAAAGTGATAGATCTGTATCTAGTTGACAAGAAGTGGAATTGTGATGGTTAATCTTTATGGTCAATTTGATTATTTAGAATCACATAGAACATATACCTCTGGGTACATCAGTGATGGTATTTCCAAGTAAAAATGGGGAAAAAAAAAACACCTTGAAATGAGCCACACCATCTCATATGCTGGTGTTCCATGATGAATAAGAAAGGCAAGCAAGTATGAAGATTTATCTCTGTTTCCAGACTGCAATATGATCCATTGTTTTATGCTCCTGCTGTTACAGCCAACAGTTGCTACTGCCACCATGTATTCTCCACTATGATGTCACAGTCATGAATAAAGTAATACAAGTATTTGTATCTGTTAAGAAATCTGTCTAACTTTATACCCAAATATTTCTTGACCATAATTAATTTTTCTCTAAGAAATATTCAATTGCTTTCTTTCCCTTCACTTGAAAACGTTTGAAAAATATCTATAACCTGTCTCCTCCTTTTCACTTACAGTCTGTCCTTGATTGGCTTCTGTAACAGACTTCTTAAACAGGTCATCTAGCTGCATGTTTCCCAACCCTTGTCTTTGTGCTACATCCCTCTCGAAACAACTCTTTTGGCTTCTAAAAGCTTTGTTCTGGTTTCCTATATTGTCATCTAACATACTTCCTCTGATTATTTTATACACGATGGTAGTTCCCTGAAGTGCCTTACATTCTTGAGGCTCCAGAAACAGTTCCTTCCCTTCCCCACTCTGGAGCTTTTTGTAGAGATTGAGATTTGGGAGAAGGGAAGAACAATGGAAAAAAGAAAGGTAGAAAGTAGGAAAGCATGCATGAAAATGTCATAATGAAATTCACACACACACACACACACACACACACACACACACACACACGGGAAAATTTAGAATAAAACCAGAAAAGAAAAAAGTCCTTCCAACCAAACATATCAATGTATAAAATGAACAACACTGATGTGACTATCTTCTCTACTGTCTCTCTTTTCCTGTAGCCTCAGTAATATCCTCCTTTAGCTATGAAATCTAGAGAAACTTCTTTACGCTTTTTCTTTACCTCATTCTGTAACATCTTATCAATCATTAAATCTTAGCATGTCAACTGCTAAAATAATCTTCTAAATCAGCATCCCTTTCCCATCTCAGAAACCATTTTCTAAGTTTAGGACAGTCCCTCCAACCTAGAATACTACAGCAGCTTCCTAACTGACTCAGAGCCTAATTGTCTTCAAATTTACCCCCCTCCCAAGTGCTGTAGAGACTTATCTAAAATATAAATTAGACCACGTTGCTTTGAAATAGGTGCCTTTTGTTTCTAAGGCTTTCACTAATATCCTTGTCAAGACCAACATGGCCCTCCACAATTAAGCTGCATCTATTTCTAGTTTAATCCTGCTCCATACTCTGTCCTAATTTTATGTCAAGCAATGCTAAGCCTCTGTGTTCCCACTCCCAATGCTTTATATGCTCAAACTATCTTTTCAAGTATTTTCATTAAAAAGCTACTTAATTTTTGAAACCTCATAAGATATAGAAAAATAGAGAGACAGTGATAGGTTTTGCAAGAAAAAAATTTGCTGCTAAGCCTGACAACCTGAGTTTGATCTCTGGGACCCATAAAGAAGTGGAAGGCGAGAGCAGAGTACTACAAGTTGTCCTCTGACCCCCACAAGTGCACCTCTGTGTTACGTGTACACACACTCACATGTATGTAGGCCCACAAATGAAGTTACTTTATTAACAGGAAAATGAATTCAACTAGAAATAATCATATTAAGTGAAACTAAGTGCATTTAAGGGAGGCAAATATCACATGGTACACACACACTCTAAATAAATACACAAATGAATAAACCAAAGAACAAATACATCTTTTAGAAAAGAATAAAAAGGGAAATTGTGGAGTTTTCTTGGCATATATACTTGAGCTATTGTTTGCTTTTATCGGTACAGGGGTCTATCCATTTTTAAGATTTATATTTTTGTGTATATGAGTGTCTTGTTTCATGTATGCCTGTATATCACGTGCATGCCTGGTGCTTAGGGAGGCCAGAGGACATTTGATTCCCTGGAACTAGAGTTACACAGTTTTGAACCACCATGAAGATGCTGGGAATGGAACTTGGGTACTCTGCAAGAGTTATCAAGTGCTCTTAACTGCTGAGCCATCTCCTTCTAGTCCCCCAACCTTTTGTTTTCTTAAAGATAGTGTCTGAATGTGTAGCTCTAAGTTAGCCTCAAATCCTGTGAATCTAATGCTTCTACCTCCCTAGTGCTGAAACAGCACCACATTCAGCTTTTACATTTTTATTTTCCTGGCTTGTTTATTTCTTCTCAACTCTGGATTAGAGTTAAATGGCTTAAAAATCAAGACAATTTTTTTTTGGAATACAGCCATACCCATTCATTTATGCTGCCTACCTTATAGACTGTTGTATAAAAAACCACTATAAAACTTAGAGGTCACCACTTTCTCAACTCATAAATCCTGTCATGAAATCAGAAGAGACTAAGGATTGCTTTTTCTGTGTGTATAACTTCACAGTGCATAGGACCCCAGTTGAGAAGATTTAAACAGATGGAATCATCTAAGGCTTCTTCACTTATCTGGCACCTTTGACCAAGATAGCTGTAGTTAGGCTCAAACTATCATCGGGCATTTACATGAGGCCTTTTTGTGTATCAGACAGATTTTCTCATTGCTATGAGCAAAACATGAGAGGAAATATTTATTTTGGTTCATGGTTTCAGTCATGACAAGGAGAGTTTGAAAGCGCAGAGAAACTCAATTCAGGGCATCCAAGAAAGAAGGATGGGGAGTAGGGGTACGGATGGCAAGGGCAGGCCAGTCACAAGCCTAGAAGGAGACAGAGACAGATAGACAGACACACACTTGGGGGCGGGCTTGCTAACAGGTTTTCTCCTTTCCCCCTTATAGTCTATCAGAATACTCAACCTATAGGATTGTACTAATTATATTCAGAGTAGGTCTTTCTACCTTATTCGTTCCTAGGCCCTTGTAAATCTGATCAAATAAGTTATCAATATTAACTGCTATGGGGGGGGGCATGGGTCAAAACATTTTCGTGGTACCAGGGATTAAATGGAGGACCTCATGCACACCAGGCTAAATGCTCTACCATACCTCCAGCTCTAGGTTAGACTTCTTATATGACAGCTCAATACTATTCCAATTAACAAAGCAGTAGGTATATCACCTTTTATGACTTAGCCTCATAGGTAGCATACTCTATTGTACCAAAGGGATCACAAACTCATTCAGATTTAAGTCAGAGGATACCAGTCCTATGTCTTGATGAGATACGTACCAAGAATTCACAGGTATGTTTACACCGCCAGTTAAGGTTTTCACATCATCTGTAACAAGAACCTAGAATTATTATTCAGACCTTAAACAGAGGAACATATAGGTAAGCAACAATACGAGTTTTACAAAGGACTGTAATCAAGGTCCCGACCATGAAAAATTTTAATACCTTCCTGTTTATTTTTGATGAATCTTTTAATTCTGAAAATATAGACTATATACATTTTTAAATGTTACATGAGGGACTGGGAGATATACCTTAGTGATAGTATGCTTTGTATGGGCAAGGTCTGAGGTTCTATTTCCCCAGAACTACAAAAATAAAAATTAAAAAAGGTATCATAGGAATAACCTTTAAGAATCTAGAGAGATCTGGGTATGGTAACATACATCTATAATGCCAGTACTCAGGCAGCCAGATTGGAAATTAAAGCCAATCTGGCTACATAGGGAGATCCTGCTTCAAAACAAGAATAAACCTAGAAAGTAAAATGACCTCAGTTCTCTGCCTTTTCTTATTTTTTGGAGGAGGGGTGAGACAGGGTCTTGTATAGCCAAATTTGGCCTTGAACTCCTGATCATCCTGCCTCAGACTCACAAGTGCTGATTATAGTATTATGTTACCATGTCCAGATCTACCTTTTATTTGTCTTTTCAAGTTGACTTTACAGCACTTTGACTCTAGATTGCTTTCTGACTTGGTTAGAAAAACAGAATATATCAGAGATATAGTGTAAGTTCTAAGCCTAGGTCTCAAGAAGCCTTGCTGCTTCCCTTTTTTTTTTTTTGGTTTTTTGAGACAGGGTTTCTCTGTGTAGCTTCAGAGCCTATCCTGGCACTAACTTTGTAGACCCAGCTGGCCTCAAACTCACAGAGATCCACCTGCCTCTGCCTCTAAAGTGCTGGGATTAAAGGTGTGCACCATCAACGCCCGCTACTGCTTCTCATTCATATAAACTTTCCTAGACACTATAAACAAGCCAGGGATAGCTGCTGTTAGATGAATGAATGGCATGTAGCCTAGAGTTCCTATCCTTTATCTCAGTCCCAGTTGTCAGACAGCCAACCTTGGAAGCAGCTTCCTGCTTTACTGATCATAGGCATAACATACTGCTTTACTACAGCTCCCTGCTTTACTGATCATAGGCATAACAGGGATTAGTTGAGAACAGCCTAATTGCTCAACTGAATCCAACCTACTTAATATACCCACAGGTACCAACTACTCTTCTAACTAGTGATATAGCATAGTTAATTGGTGGAACTCAGAAGACAGTTCTAGTATTATTAAATTAATTTAGCTACAAACTAAACTTACAAAGTAGACACTGTTACTAGGATCCAATAAGGAAGATGACAAAACTATTGCTATGATAATAGAATGGTTAACACTTGATCAAAGAAGAAGCCTTAAGAGTAGCCACACAAATATGAAGTGCTAAGTCTTCTCATCTTATCATTATAATGCCAAGTCAGTCATAAGGTTAACATCATAATTTCTCAACTCAAGAGTTTTAAACTCCCTCATGAGAACTTAGCATTGCTATTAGAATCCTTCTCTTTTTTAGTTATAATCACCTTCTTATTTCTATCAGTGTTACCTTTCAATACACTCCAGTAAAGACAAGGCAGACAGCAACTCAAAAGATTAATTATACACATATAACTATGAAATATTTTTTGTTTTCAAAACAAATATACCAAAAGCCATACATCCAATTACAAGCTGGTTTCTGAGAAAGCCTCTAGAGTACCAAATATTTATTACAGCAATATAGTCTCTCTAAATACACAGGACAGTTTTTTTTGTTTGGATTTGCCTCCTTCTGTTCCTTTGACATGGTATTTCTTCAAATAAAGATCTACAGAGAATGAATTTACATTTTGAAAGCAATCAAGTGTTATTCCCAGTATATTCAAGTGAAGATGGCATCGAGGTGTGTGAAACCAGTTTTAATTAGAAACAAGGCAAGAAAACACATTTCAATGCTGATTTTTAATTTCAATTGAGCCAGGCATTGGTAGCACATGCCTTAAATCCCAGCATTCTGGAGGCAGAGGCAGGCAGACCTCTGTGAGTTCGAGGCCAGCCTGGTTTACAGAGCGAGTACCAGAACAATCAGAGAAACCCTGTCTCTAAAATCAAAACAAAAACAAAAAACCCAAGAGTTCCAGGACAGGCTCCAAAGCAATACAGAGAAACCCTGTCTCAAAATAATAATAATAATAATAATAATAATAATAATAATAATAATAATAATAATAATAATAATAATAATAATAATAATAATAATAATAATAATAATAATAATAATAATAATAATAATAATAATAATAATAATAATAATAATAATAATAATTTCAATTGAATGACTCAACTGTCATTAGCTATGAGGCTAAAATTTCAAATGATTGCACACATACACAAAACAAGCAAGCAAACAAAACAAAACCTTAAGCTCTCTATAACTTACAATGCAAACTTTAAGCTTCTAGCCTATGTATCTGAGTCACTTCATAATGTGGTCAGAGCTAGCTTTTCATCTCATTTCCCTTATATAGTCTCCTCTTCCATGACATTAAGTCCTTCACTGTGCCCCACTTACATGTGTTGGTGCTTTTTTTGTTTTTTTAAGACAGAGTTTCTCTGTATTGCTTTGGAGCCTGTCTTGCTCTGCAGACCAGGCAAGCCTTGAACTCACAGAGATCTGCCTGCCTCTGCCTCCCGAGTGCTGGGATTTAAGGCATGAGCCACCTACGCCCAGCCAGTGCTTTCTTGTTAAAAATTAATTTTATTTCATGTGTATGAGTGTTTGCCTGCACATGTGAGTGTGTACCATATGAGTGACTGGTGCCTGCTGGAGTCAGAGGAGGGTGTTGGGTTCCCTGAAATTGAAGTTACAAATGATTGTGAGCCACCATGTGGATCCTGGGAACAGAACCAGGTCCTCTGCAAGGGCAAGTGCTCTTAACCACTGAAGTCATCTTTCTTGAACGGATGCATTTGTGCACATTCCTCTCCTGGAGCACTCAAAGTCCACATCACCTCTATTTCTGCCCCATATAATGCCCAACACTGTAAGTGACTCTGATACTTACTAAATGAAATAAATAACTCCTTTGGTAGTTAAGTGGCTTTGAAAGTAATTTCAGAAAGTAGAGTTCCAAAAACCTTCTGGGTGGTAGAGTAAATAGCTAATTACTAACACACATTTAAAGGATGAAATTATGGAATGCTATGAAGCAACTGCTTTGCAGTCATACCTAAGAAGGATTGATGACTCAAAGATTGAACAGAAATAAACTAAAAGTTCCAGCAATACTCCATTCTACCAGGATGATGGATTGCATTGTGTATATAATATGATGGATGGCACATTTTTAGACAGCAGGGCTCTGGGTTTTTAAAATTCTCCCCCAAAGAATACCTAAGTTAAGAGCAAATACTACTTTAATAAGATATGGGCATATAACAACTTATTTCAAAGAATAAAGATTCTAGAGCTAGGTGTGTTTCTTGGTTATTTTTCTATTGCTACTTGCTGACGGAAGAGACTATTTCAGCTTACACTTCCAGGAAACATCAGTAAGAGAAGTCAGGGCAAGGTCTCAAGGCAAGAACCTAGAGGCAGGATTTGATGCAGAGACCATGGAAAATGGCCTTGCTTTCCTCAAGGCTTTCTCAGTCTGCGTTGTTATACACTCTAGGACCACAAGCACAGTGTTGGTATCACCAACAATATGCTGAGCCCTACATCAATCACTAATTAATAAAATGTACCATAGGCTTGTCCACAGGACAATCTGGTGGATGCATTTTCTTCATCTGAGATTCCTTCTTCCCAAATGACTCTAGCTTTTGTCAAGTTGACATAAAACTAGCCAGTGTAGCACAGTAACTGGTAATCCCAGAATTTGGGAGGCTAATAGCCCAGGCTGATGTTTGAGGTCAGCCTGGGCTATACAATGAGATCCCATCTTTTTTTAGATTTATTTATTTATTATGTATACAGTGTTCTGGCATACATGCCTACATGCCAGAAGAGGGCACAAAATCTCATTATAGATGGTGGTGAGCCACCATGTGGTTGCTGGGAATTGAACTCAGGACCTCTGGAAGAGCAGTCAGTGCTCTTAACCTCTGAGCCATCTCTCCAGACCCCAATGAGATCCCATCTTAAAAAGAAAAAAAAACTGGAAAAGAATTATGAGACTTTTCCCCTTTTGGGTGAAACTAAAACCAACACACTGAAAAATTTAGAATATTCTCAAAACACTGGTATGATGAAATGTAAGAATTGCTATTGCTATATGTCAAAATGTTTGAGTATCAGCAATTTCACATGGTTAAATATATTTCAGGATTTTGTTCACATACAAAAACAAGCGAAGAAAAGCTTCTTTCCTTTGGTTTTCTTCTTTCATCTCCAAAGTCCATACTCACTCTAGAGAACTTAAATTCCTATGACCTTTTGAGGACAAAAAATACACAAAGACTTTCTGAAAAGCACACTTTGTAGTTCAAAACTCCTAGTTTCCTTTAGGAGTTATATTTCATTTACCAGACCAAACGTAATTGACCTGTACATCCCCTGCACCTCAAATTTCCAGGTCAGATCTGAGCACCATCTTCCCATGTTCCATTTGCACACTGCACATAGGCCATCACACAAAGGATTCCTGATGGCATTTAGTGCAAGAAGAGAGGTTTTTGACAAAAAAGTGCTCTATCCTGTGCTCAGTGCAAGTTGGGGCTTATGTGAGCCAGATAGTCTAGGGTTTTTGTTGTTATCGTTTGTGTTTGTGTGTGCTGTTTATTTTGTGTATGTTTTGTTTTGTTTTTGCTTTTCTTGCCTCAGAGTTGTATACAGGTAGCTGTATCTCTGGGTCTCTTGATGAGAAGGAGGGGAACCTTCATGGATACAATATCTAGCCCTGCATATATGGCCAGAGTGGTGAGGCTGTTTGATGCCATCTTCATGGGTAGCTACAAAACCCTGTGAGGAGTCACAAGTGCTTCAACTAACTACCACACTCCCAGATCACAGTC